TGAGAAGTGCATCCCATGGTTCTGGAAGTGCGATGGTGAAAAGGACTGCAAGGATGGCTCCGATGAGCCGGCAACCTGTGCTCCTCGACACTGCAGGGCTGGAACGTTCCAGTGCAAGAACACCAACTGCACACCTTCGGCGACAATCTGCGATGGAGTGGATGACTGTGGCGATCGCAGCGATGAGCAGAATTGCGATCTGCCTTGTCCGCTATCCGATTTCAAGTGCAAGTCCAGCGGCAGGTGCATCCTGGACAGCTGGCGTTGCGATGGAGATGCCGACTGCAAGGATGGCAGCGATGAGGATCCCGCCGTGTGCTGTAAGTATCAAAATAACTCCTTGACAAACTATTTTCTATTGTTACTACCAAATACCCGAGTCTCTCTATTTCTTGTAAGACGATTCTATTTTTTTTTTTTTTTTTTTATATAACACATTTTTTATTTAAACGTTAATTAGCCAATTAAATGGCTATAAAACGTAGGGACTAAGTTAATTTATTTCGTGGCAACATCGATTTTGAAGATAATCACTTTAAAGGTATCCTAATTTGATTTCTTTTTTCTTTTCTCATTTTTAGTCAAGCGCACCTGTGATTCCAAGACGGAGTTTGCCTGTAAGAACGGACGCTGCATTCCGCAGCTGTGGATGTGCGACTTCGACAACGATTGTGGCGATGATTCCGATGAGCCGGCGTACATGTGCCGCCAGAGGAACTGCACCACCGGCTGGCAGAGGTGTCCTGGCCAGTCCAACTACCGCTGCATCCCCAAGTGGCTGTTCTGCGACGGCAAGGATGACTGTCGGGACAACAGTGACGAGCTGCCGGAGAACTGTCCCAAGTGCAATCCGGACACGGACTTCAAGTGCGGCAACAACCGGTGCATACCCAAGTGAGTGTTGTGATGGCTCCTTAGTCGCAGATTGAAGATCCTAACATCCTCTTTTCCTACCTTTCCAGGCAATGGATGTGCGATTTCGCGGACGATTGTGGCGATGCCAGTGACGAGAACGAGGCGGTCTGCAAGGGTCGCTACCGGGACTGCTCCGAATCGGAGTTCCGCTGCGGCAACGGCAAGTGCATCTCGTCCCGCTGGCAATGCGATCACGAGGACGATTGCGGTGACAACTCGGATGAGATGCACTGCGAGGGCTATCAGTGCAAGAACGGCACCTTCCAGTGTGCTTCCGGTCACTGCATTGCCTCCTACTTCCGGTGCGACGGCGATCGCGACTGCCGCGACATGTCGGATGAGGTGGGCTGCCCGCCGAGATTCCCGGGCAATCGCTACTGTCCGGAGTCGCGTTTCCAGTGCAACAACAACCTGTGCGTCTCCCTGTCCGACCTGTGCGACGGCACCGACGATTGCGGCGACGGCAGCGACGAGGATCCCAGCGTTTGCAGTGACTTCAATTGCGACTCCCTGCGGCGATTCCAGTGCTCCAACCACCGCTGCGTGGCCCGCTACCAGATCTGCGATGGTGTGGACAACTGCGGCGATGGCAGCGACGAGAACAACATGACGCTGTGCGCCAGCAAGCAGAAGCCCTGCGACCTGTACACCCAGTACCAGTGCGCCAACAAGCACTGCATCGAGCGATCGCAGGTGTGTGACTTCTCGGACGATTGCGGCGATGCCAGCGACGAGCTGGGATGCCACCACACGAGCAGTTGCTCCGAACAGAATCGAGGCGGGTGCCAGCACCACTGCCACAATCTCACCGACGGCGGCTACATCTGCACCTGCTATCCCGGCTACATCATAGCCGCCGACAACAAGAAGAAGTGCTCCGACGTGGACGAGTGCCTTACGCGGCAGCACACGTGCTCGCACCAGTGCCACAACCTGAACGGCACCTACTCCTGCAGCTGCCGCGAGGGCTTCCACTTGACGGACGGCGCCAGTGGGGTGTGTCGGGCCGAGAAGGAGGACGTCATCCTCGTCTTTGCCAATGGCCAGGAGATCAGGGGTCTGGACCTGCAGAAGCGCGAGGAGTTCGATGTGATAGCGGCAGAGAAGCGGATCGAGGCCCTGGACTACGATGCCCAGCAGCAGATCATCTTCTGGGCGGACAGCTACGACAAGACCATCAAGCGGTCGTACATGGTGAATGCCATCGATGGCAGGGCCAAGATCGGCTTTGCCCAGGATCTGAACATGAAGGGCGGCTCGAAGCCGACGGCCGTGGCCGTCGACTGGCTGGCCTCGAATCTCTACTGGACGGAGATGGACAGGACGGGCTCCAAGCCACGCGGTCGCGTCATGGTGGCCAAGACCGATGGTCGCTATCGCCGTTCAATCGTGAATGCCGGCCTGGAGGTGCCCACCTCGATAGCCGTGAATCCGCAGCTGGGCAGGATCTACTGGTCGGATGCGGGCTCGGCGCCCAAGATCGAGGTCTCCTGGATGGATGGGTCCAAGCGACGAGTGCTGATCACCGAGCAGATACGCCATCCGTCCGGCCTGACCATCGACTACTCGCAGGATCACATCATCTACTGGGTGGACACCAAGCTGAATGCCATCGAATCGATGAGGGCCGATGGCTCCCGGCGAAAGGCGATTGTTAAGGGCGACCAGCTGAGGCATCCCGTCTCCCTGGACCTCTTCGAATCGAACATGTTCTGGATGACCCGGGATACGGGTGAGCTGGTGCGCCAGGACAAGTTCGGGCGCGGAGTGCAGGTGGTGCTGCATCGCAATCTCGTCAATCCGTCCGGCCTGAAGGTGTACCACGACAAGCGGTACAACACCTCGCTGCCCAATCCGTGCGGCAACTCCACCTGCTCTCACTTGTGCCTCCTGGTGCCGGGAGGACATCGGTGCGCCTGTCCCGATGCCTCTGGTCCGCCGCCCTCGCATCGCAGCACCGCCGAGGTCATATGCAATGCGGCTGCGGAACATCCGCGCCCTGCTCCGCGGATCTGTCCCTGCCAGAATGGCGGTCTCTGCAAGGAGGACGCCCAGGGTGAGCTCGTCTGCGACTGCCTGTCCGAGTTCCGCGGCGAGCACTGCGAGACGAGCACCACGGGCGCCTTTGGCCACGGTGGCGCCAATGTCACCGCCGTCGTGGTGCCCATCATGGTCATTCTGCTCGTGATGATGGCCGCCGCCGGGGCCTGGTACGTCATCCGCAAGCGACCGTTGTAAGTATCCCAATCCAAAGAAGAGGTTAGCCCAATAGAAAAGCCCCCTGATTATTCGGGTTTCGATTGGTTTAATAGTTACCTAAATGCCCCTTTCAACTTAACCAATCAATATCCTAATCATAATCTAATCACTCTAATCCCTTTCAGCGGCAAACTGGCTCGCATGCCGGCGATGACCTCGTCCCAGAGCGTGACCTTCCGCCACGGGTCGAATGTGGAGTTCAGCGAGAGCGGATTCCCAGGAGCATCCGCACCGGGAGCCGGCGATGTGGCGCCCATCGAGGGTTACAACCTGCAGACGGTGAACGCGAACAAGGCGCGCGACTTTGCCAATCCGATGTACGATGCGGTGCAGTCGGGCACCACCGCCGATCCGGGCATGGGCAACGGTTCGGGTGAGTCTATATCTATAAAACCACTATGAAGATAGTCCTTTGGATAAGTGACGAGACTCCGACGTTTCCTCAGGCCAACAATAACTATTGTATTATTGTGCAACCGCATTTACCTTTTGTTGTCTATTATCGGGTTGTACAATTCTTTGATTAACAAAAATATAAAAAAAAAAAAGAACTATGTAAAAATGTTAATTATTTAAATTTGAAGACTGAATTATTTTTCCATATATTAAAATTAAATGCAATTGATGCAAAGATGACTAAAAAAGTATTATGAATAAGTCAGAAAAATGTTATAAGATGATTTTAAGTTCTTTAGGTTAATAAATTTAAATGAAAATAGTGGCAATACACATAATATTTATAATTTTATAAAAAACATTCTATAAGAGTCAATATCAAATGTTTTAAAAAAATATATAATTTAAGATATTCAAAATATCAAATTGGCAAGTTACTAAACCGTCATTTTTGTGCTCCCCTATTAGGCATCTACGATGTGCCGGGCGAACCGTCGGCCAAGGGCAAGGCCATGGGCCACCATGCGGGCGGATCGTTCACGGAGCCCGCCTCGGCGATCATCGCGCCCAGCAGCATCACGCACAAGGCGTCGCCGCAGCTGCAGCTGCGCACCAGGGAGCTGGATCCTTCGGCGGACACCGGCAAGGACACGCAGTTCCTGGTGGAGGAGGACAAGTCCGAGTGCTGATATCAAGCCCGTCAATCGGCTGCCGTTGCGGCGGCAGTTGCGATGGCCAGTTGTCGCCAGCAGCGCCGGCAGCAGCAGCAGCAGCATCAGCAGCAGCAGCAGTCGGAGAACAGCTATCCGCTGCAGACATAACACAGACTGGTCAAGCAAAGGAAGGAGCAACATCAGCAGCAACAGCAACAGCAGGCACATCAGCAACATCTGCCGCCGCAGCAGCAGCAACATCAGCAGCAGGGACAGGGACGCTCTAGTAGTAAACATCACAAATCCTGGCAGGTAGCCACCGCTGGCAAGGTCACCACCAAGGTCTAGCCTTGCCCCCAAAAGAATACACACACCACCCACAGAGAGGAGCAACGCGAGGAGGAGGAAGAGGAGGTGGAGAAGGCGGAGGAGGAGGAGGAGGTCCTCGGGGGGAGGGGACGGCAATAAACATATCCAAAAAAAACAGAAACATATGCAACCCCCCACAAGAGAAACCAACTAAAAAACTGTTGCAATTATTATTAAATAAAACGTAAACACTAAAAAATATAACTATAAATGTACACAAAACACTAAACGCGACACAGCAACTTTTGTAAAGCCAATTTTTGTAGCCTACCTTTTTTTTTTATTTTTGTGTGAAACAAATGTTTTTTTTGCTAATCAACATACTTTTGCGCAAAAGGAGAATTGTAAAAATCTAGCAAAAACAAAAAAACGCGACAAAATTAAGGCAAAAAGTATATTTTTTTGAAAGCTAAATGACAATATTAACTATATATGTATGTAAATCGGAAAACAAAATATCTATATGTATACACAAGGCAACTAAGGGACGATTCCCAGCTAGGATTTCTATATATTTTTCTAAAAAATAACAACAAAAAATGCGAGCTAAAAAATATACAACAAAATATATATGTGTAAAACTAAATGTAACAAGCGAAAGAGAACACTTTTGTGCTAAAACCAGGATACAAAAACAAAAAAACAAGCATCCCCCACACATATATCTATTTATAATAATTAATTTAATTATTTATTCGAACACACACAGACAGGACCCAGGAAAGTGCTAATGATCCAGAAGAATAGGGACTTTTCGAGATTCAAAATTCGCAATACATTCCAAAAATGAAAATGTGCAAACGCCCTCCCCGCCTACACTGTGCAACAAAGAAAAGCGAAGCTTTTCAATTTCTCCCTTTTTTTTTGGCTTTCGCGCAAGCCAATCTGCTTTTCTATTTTTTTTCGTTTTGTGTGTGTAGTTGAAACTTGTCGCGCGTGTTTTTTTACACATCAATATATATATATATAAATATTTTATTTTTTAATTATATCATCGATTTATGAATTGTATTATGATTTATGATTTATCTTTCTCGTCGAAAGTCGAAATGTGTGTGCATTTTTTTTCATTTTCGTTCTCTGTGCAAAATCTGTGCTTCCCTTCATTTAAGCGTGTTTTTAGCATAAATTTTAGTGAAAGATGAAAGAAACTAAAGCTGTATACGCCAATCGGGCCATATACAACGCTATATGTGAAGTTAATTGTATATTTAATGTCAAGCTACATAATGGATAACGAAAAACCAGAACATAATAAGAGTAAAACTACGAATGAAATGAAAAACTATTTGTTGAAAGAATAAACCTTTTTTTTATTATTATACATACGGGGGGAAAATTGTAAGATGAAGAAAACTAAAACATTCAATAAAGAAAATCATAAAAAATGTAAAAAACACAAAGTGAAAGTTAAGTAAACATTTATCATGTTTTTCGAGGCCTGCTAGCACTTAATGTCTGATTTATTTTGGTAAGTGTGCTATAAAGATTTTTATTGGTATTACTGGTTGGTATTTTCGATTTCGCTCTAAATTTATTAATCTATTAAAGGAGTTTGTTTAATTCAATCTGGATGTGATTAACCTTTTCGATTTTTAAGTCGGTTACATTCACTGAATGTGTAGAATAACTTTTAAAATCGACATGGTAAATCTACTTTTGAAAAACTACAATTTAAATTGTTTTCGATCCAATTTCATGGAAACGAAATGTTTATGCTAACTTGACAAAAGTAATCAAGAAATTTATCTCAATTTCAGTACAATTATTTATTTACTACTTTTTTGTCAGATCGCATAAAAATTGGGATTCAAAAAACTTTACGTTCAGACTGGCTGCTTTTTTTCTTAATTCTCTTTTACATCATTACCAACATCCTTTTTAGGTTCGTTCACAATCGATTCGTTTGTTTTGCTAATAAATAGGTTGTTACATTGTGAGCTTAATTCTATGGGCCTATCGACCTGCAGCTACCCCGCCTTGTTGAAGATTGAATGAGGCTGGCAGCGGGGGAGCTGCCGGTCCTAATCTGTTAGAGTAGGAGAATTGCTTAAGTCTTGGGCTGAGGCAGATACTCTCGTCGTCATCTTCGCGATCTCAATACCGATCTCCGGCTGTCGGTGCTATCCTTACATAACTAGGGCTCTTAGTTAGTTGCTGCTGCTGCTGTACGCGCTGTGGCTGCGAATGTTTGGCTAGTCGCTCGTCTTCAGCCGCTTCACGGGTCCATCGCTGCCCTGCGAGTTCGAGTCCTCGGAGAAGGGCATACTTGACACAAAGTCCGCGCCCTGGCTGTCGGAGACGACAGAGAAACCTGCAAAAAGTAAGTGATTAGTACGGTCTAGTAAGTTTAGTTCACATTTGTTGTTTTCACAGTTTTTGTCTTAAATTATAAAAGTAATCAAATGAAAAAAGATAAAATCTTTTTTATATAAAGGTTATCTCTAAAGAGTGGTCACTTTGCAATATATGAAAACCTGAATTAAACAAAAAAAAACTTGTTTTGGAAACAAACAAAATCTCTAACTAGACATAAGAATCGATTAGACAGCAAAGCCTACATGAATAAGAGAGAGTACACACAGTTTCTCATTTACAAATAAAACTGAATATAAAAGTGAATTTTGTAAAGTGAGTTTAAAATTATTTATTTCCCTAGGATTTGATTAAAAAACCGAAAAATCGAAATTTTCTGTAAATGCCAATTAATTGGAAATTTTGTAACGAAGGTATGATATTCCAACATGCGACCACTATATTCCAGGGTTTTGGTTAAAAACCCAAAAAATAGAGTTTATTTTTCAGGATTTCGGTCAAAATATAATAAATATATAAAAATATAAAAAAAACAAAAAAACAGACGACTAAAACCTACAACCTCACAGTTTTAAATCTTTGAAATCCATATAATCAATTCGCTAAATGTGAATGCTGAAACTTGGTGAAAGAAAAAAAAATGTATATAGACTTTAAAAGCATCAGATACCGATTCATACACTTATAAGTTATAATCGAGCAAAATTAATGCATAATCTTGATAAATTGATAGTTTTGGTAGCTGCAATATGATAGCCACATAAGGTTTAGGTTACTATACAACCTGTATAATAATACAGCCTTACAGTTATTGTAATTCAATAAGTCTGTAAGCTAGGCATTTTTAAGTCCACAATTTTAAAATATATACAAATTCTTAGAAATGGGACCCTTTAGTTAATAGTTATAACAATATCTTAAGGTCTGATAAATGCCTGGTACAAAAGCTGCGATAAGGTGAACTGAAAGGTCTAGTCAGGCATATTCTACGTTCTTACAGGTGTTGGAGTCCTCGGCAGTGAGTCCTTGGTAGCTGGGCGTGATCTGGGGCGGCGTGGGCGTGCCCTTCTGCGAGTTCTCCTTGTCGCTCTTGCTGCCGCCGCCGCCGACGGGCACGCCCCCTGAACTCGTGGGCGGCCGTCGATTGACAGCAGAGCCCGGAGAGGACTCCAGCTTGGATTTTTTCTCGCTGGCGGAGGCGATGGGCACCCATTTGTAGATCTTCATGGTAGTGTCGCTGATGGTCACCCACTTCTTCTCCCAATGGCGCACCTTGTCCACCGCCTGCATCACCCGCTTGATGTCATCTTTCGCCCGACTCCTCGTCTCCGCCCGCACGCTGCGCGACATGACTGTAGCTCGAAGGCGCTAGCTGTCCCCGCTTTCCTTGATTTCCTCGCTGTCCCTGTTTTCCTCTGCCAATGTCGGCGTCTCGCGAAAAGCCGCTAGCTGTTTTTCGCGGTTTCCCACTGTGTTAGAAGTCCTGGTCTCCGAGTCTTTTGAATGGCGGTCAACAAACTGGTCTCGTGTTTTGATGGGGATTCAGCCTTGATTTTAGAATAATGGTACAAATTATCTAGCCAAATTTGCAAATTATTTTTACAAAATAAAGTACAATCGATAGTATTTGGCGTGATGTGATTTGACTCATGCTATCGCATTCGATAGTAACGCCTCCACATATCGACTACGCAACAGTGTGACCGAAAACCAGCAGTAGATCTAACTCATATATCGGCTGCCAATCGCCAATCAAATAAATTTGATATGTTGTTTGTTAATTTATTTATATAGTTTAAATGGTTAATTGACACCCCCTAAATGGGTATACTACACGAATAAGAACATTTAAGGATGTGGAATCAATATTTGCATAATATTTAACTGTATAAATATCGAGTGCTGTATTTGTTTTAATTGACTTAATTAACTTAATGAAACATTTTTTAAATAATTAATTTAGCATTATTATTTTACTATAAATGGAATACGAAGTAACTATTATTTTGACTTCAACTGTATGCCCTAATTTGTAGGCAGTCCGGCAACTCGTCAAAAGTATCGATAGTTACAGAGTAAGCATCGACGTTACAAATCTCTAGCAAACTCGATAGTTTCGCATAAGGATGTGAAAATATAAGTTTAATTTCGAACCGATGATAAATAGTGTTTTAATAAAATACCAATATGATAAAATATATAAATCACCCGAAATAATCAACTTAGGCTATCTGAATTAAAATATATTGATATCAATCTATTTGGGCAATAAGCTATCGCGATATTATTGTTTACTTATTTCGAAAAGTATCGATATCTTGATATCTTAATATACATCTCTCGTCCCCAATTTTAGTGCCAGCTCTAGCGGCCACACTGCTATCGTACCGACCCGACGAAATTATGCGTACGCTCCGCTTTTTTTTTATTTATTTTTTCGTAATCCAAACGCCCTGCCGCCCATAAAATAATGAAAAATCGCACAAACCCGGAAAAGTGCCAAGTTAAATGTTCGCTGTGTATTGTGAGTGCGAACGAAAGCGAGAATTAAAATGAAATTGCAGGCGACGCCGAAATAAAAAACAAAAAAAAAACGTTGCAGCAACAACGTGCGTGCGTGTGTCGAGTGTGTGTGTGTTGGTATATGCTAAGAGCAAAGAGAGCGAGTGAGAGGGCGATAGAAGGCAGAAGAAGCATCAGCGGAAAAGAGAACGAAGAAAGGTGGGGAAAAACGAAAAAGGCGAACGAAAAACGCACACGAAAATGAAAATTGTTGTATGAAAAAAACAGGGGAAAGTCAACGATCTAGGTATTACTTTTATTGCCTGGGTATTAAAACTAAAACGGTGTGCTAATACTAATACCATTACTAATACTAATACTAACAGTTCAAGAGAGTTTTTGCATAGAACTGAAAACAAGAATTATTCTCTCGACCAAACGAGAGAAAGAGAGAGAAACGCAAACAAATTGGAATAAATTATAGAAATTTAAAATAAAGTAAACAACTCAAATGGCAGGAATTTAAACTAAAGTAAACAACGAAAACGGGCGATATACATATATTAGTCGAGCATTTTGAAATTCAAGTTTAAATAGTTTTCGTGCATTTAAAATAAATGTATCTAATGGCTATATTAATTAAATTCTTTTAAAGCAAAAAAAAAGTCTTATTAATATTATCTAAAATTTGATCATGAATAATAACGAATTTGTACAATGTTTGGGAAACAACATAAAATATTATTTTTGAAACTGTAATCAAATTTAGTCAAATGATTAGTTTAGCTAGCATTAAGTTTTGAGTAAAAAGATCAGTTTTATTCCGTGTGAAATTATATAATTTATACATTTCAAAATGGAGCTAATTTAATGGAGTTAAAAAACTCTTGGCCGAATTAAGTTCAAACTAAAGTTGTTTTCTATTTTTAGGTATATGACTTTATAAAATGCGAGTGTGTCTGTTGTCTTTTTAACAATGGAAAATGTGTGTTTTTTTTAATGTGAAAACCCAGTGAGAGTTATTTTTTAAAGTGTGTCTAATTTGGTAATTTTTTTTTTAATTTCCAAAAACAGCAGCCGCTTCAAAAGCCAGAACTTTGAAAAGTCGAAGCTGAAATTTTTCCCGATTTTCCGTTTCCCGCGAATCTAAAACCCGCGCTGCCGGCGTCGCTGCCTCTGCCGACGTCTTCGTCGACGCCGCCGTCGCCGATCCCGTTTTCACTCGTCGCCGCTTCATCCCGCCATCTCGCTCTGTTCCCGCCCCCTCTCTCTGCCCCGCCCCCCGCGCCTTTCTGTCCGCCCCCGCCCCTCCCCCTTAGAGAGAGAGAGAGAGAAAGCCAAGCCAAGAAACGTCATCAAGCGGCAACAACAACAATCACCACAAAAAAAGCAACATCAGGCGACAACAACAAAACGCATTTCATTGCCAAGAGAAAAAAAACGGTCAACGACATTGCAACAGCAACATTAGCAAAAGAAACAGCAACAACACCACTGCAACATTGGCCAAGAGCAACAACAACAAAACAGCAATAAAGAAAGACTGCAACAACAACAACTGAAACAACAAAAACAATAGTAACAACAACAAGCGTACCAACAAATAGGAAAATAGGAAAATGCCCAAATGCGATGTGAAAACGCGCTACATTCCTGCGACTTTCGCCTGGATTGTGCTGCTTTTGACCACATTTCTCTTCTTCTTCTATCCGTAAGTTGTTTTTATGATCACATTTTTATAGATCTATTTACATATAAGATTCCCTGATATATATTTTGTTTAAAAAACAAAAAAAAAATAACTCTCTTTATTTTAGAATTCCCCTTATCCACATGACTATCCATCACTTTAAATTTCAAGAAACCTTTATTTAATGAAAGTTTTCCATTGTAATAAAAGTAGAGCAATCTGTAAGTGGAACTACAATATGTAGTTCGTTGAGTTCGCGAGAAGTTCATGAATATTGGATGTGCCTAAGGCAATATTTACTGTAGCTACACACGCGCACTTTCAGAGCGGAGTAGCGTAATCCAAGACGACCCTTCGGCCTTCGTCTGCCCCCACCACCCACTTCTTTGTAGTTTTGTTGCTCCCACTTTATTTATTTTGCTCGCATTTTCGTGGATTATAACGACGGACTGTAATGCATTATTATATGTGGGACAGCAGCTCGTTTTTATCCAGTCTGCCCCCATTTTCCCCTCAATTTTCCTTGTCTTAGTCATCTCTCAGTCGCCATTTTCCCGCCCGCATCCCCCTTTTTGGCACTCAATTTGCAGTTGCTCTGTGCGGTTTTTTTTTTCTTTTTGCTTTTTTCGCAAATTGTTTTCATGTATTTTGGTCGTAAAAAGATTTTTAGTTTTCAAAAAGCCGGGGGAAATTGTATTGAAATATATGATGCCCGTGGAGGATCTGGTTAAATTGACAGATTTTTCGTATATACCATAAAGAACTCTTTATTATTTAATAAACTGCTTTTACTAGAGTTTTCAGGAAAATATTTCAAAAATAGCCATTATTCTTATTTTCATTGTACACCGGATGTTGAAAAAAAATAATTTAATAAATAAATAAATTTTCCAACAAAAATTAGTTTTGATTTCAGAAAGTATAAAAGTCACATTTAAAATGTTGTTTACGCTACTTTATAATTCTCCTGCATTTAAACTATTACATAAATATTTCGAAATAACATTATTAATTTTCAATATTGGATATAAAACTTACCAGGGAATCAAAATTAAATTTTAATGAAATTTTCAAGATTGAAAACGCACAAAATTATTTCCCTTTCAAGTTAATTAATTTGTGGCGTTCTAAGCAAATGCTAAATTATTCATTATTTTGAAATTTAGTTATCTCGCTGTTTTGCCACATAGCCACATCGTGATATCTCACTTGGTATAAACACTTTTGTTTTTTTTTTTGGAGACGACGAGAAGGCCAAGGGAGCAACAAATTTGCATAGCATGTGCACAATTAGCACATGAAACGAAACCAAAATAGCAATTAAGCAGTCAGTTTCAGACCCCCGAACACCTCTTTAATGGCCTCAGAGCTTTTCCCCCGTTTAACCACACAATTTTCCCCATTTTTCCAGTTACGTCCATTTAATGACGAATTCTTGTGGTCAATTGCAGTTGCAATTGGTCGCTTGGCTTTTGGTCGTTTTTCATCAAATGCAAACCATTTTTCGAACATTATCTAGACGACACTTGGTTCTCCTTTATCTTCACCTATTTTTTTCCGGCACACAGAAAAAAGTACATTTTGTCGATGATTTTTAAAATTCTAATCAAGTTAGTGCTTAGTATACTACAAAGGTTACTTAAATAAAAATCTTTAAAAATGGTTTTATAAATAATTACAAAAATTATCTAAAATATATTTAAAAGCGCATAATGTTTAGTACTATGTTGTAAATGATTTTTCTTTCTGTGCACTTTTCTGCTACCTTTGTTCTTGTTTTGGCTTTTTCGGGTTTCCCTTTGTTACAGTTATCTATGCTGGTGCTGACTGGCTCTTTGTTTTAGTCTGGTGAGTAATTCACAGTCACAGGAGAAGGGCCACTCCCCTCCCCACCCTCTTTTCCCCGCACTTTTCCATTTTCACTTGACTCTTGCGGCGACACTTGAGTTTTGCACTTTGTTTGCCTCCCTTGTTGCCTAGTTTGGGAATTTGTTTATTTAATTATGCCTTCCTCCTGCTGGATTCCCTTTGTACTTTGTTGTTATCTGGAGTTTTGGGTACGCGGCGTATTAAATATCGCCATGGGTTAAAAACCAGCTTCAACACACAGAGAAAATTGTTGCAGTGGAAAGATTAAAGATTAAAAACAAACAAGCTGCATTTTAGATATTAATGGTAACTCATGTTGTTAAAACCTAAGACTATACATTTCAAGTTGAATTATTTTCTGTATTTATGGCTGTATTTGTCTGTGTATATCGCAGTGTACTTCTTTAGTTTTCAGCTTTGGTTTGATTAGCCAGCGACGTCATCAGATATGGAGAGCGATGTGGGAAATTCGGATAAGGAGGTTCAGGTCGGTTTGGCCAAAGTCCAATTACGGAATATATTTCATTATGGCTAGTTTTTTCCATTTCGCTTGCCATCGCTTTTGATAAATTTTTTTATTTTCCCTCTCAATGCCACAGGTTGCCTTTGTTACTATCACCAAACAAAAAAAAAACTCGGCATGGCGAAACACAAAACTACGCTTGACAAAACAAACCGAATCGGGAAATAAAAAGAAAATTAAGTAAAACATGGCAGGGCACAAAAAAAAGCAAGACCGAAACTGTTGCTACATAACAACAAAAAAGAGGGAAGCAACAACGATAAAAACTACGGCAACACAACTGCGTCACAACAACAGTTTGGACAATAGTTTTAGCCACCCACGCAACCCCACTCCAACCCATACCGCCGCCCACCTCCGCCTATCTCCGCCCACTCCCACCCCTCATTGAAATTCTAGAAGCCGCGCCACTCAGAGTGATGATTATTCCTCGCTGTTTCGCTTTTTCTGTTTGCGTTTGCGTTTGTTTTGTCGTTAAGTTTTCAAGCCCTCATGCTCCACATATCACCCCCTAATTCCACACATTTCATCCCCCCGTTTCACACATGAAACAATAGGATTTCGAGGAGTTATAGCGCTGAATAGATATATAAAAATATTGAAATTTAAAAAAAGGAATAATCACTTAAAGGTTGAGGAAAAAGTATTAATTAATCAACGAGTATCTATTTCCAAACTTTTGTAGGCTAATATTATTTTTGGGGCTTAAGAAATAAATTTTTAATGGGAGAATACAAAGGTAAATGCTTCCAAAATCTCTTAATAATTTACAGGTCTGTAAAATAGATTTTCCATTACACAAATATCAAGCAAGGGACCATTTCCAACTTCATCCTAACTATCTTTGCTTTAAGCCCATGCCAAAGATTTTCCAATGCCAAGAGCTAAACGATAAAGAAAAAGCTAGATAATTATAGAATAATGGTTGAGAAAAAACCCCGGGAAAAGGGGTTGTTTCCCAAGTGAAAGTGACTTTAATTACACAAATTTCATGTAATTTAATTTCCGTTTTGTTGCTCTGACAACTTCCATCAAAAGAAAATTTGCAAGTGGCGGAAAATGCTAGAAAAAAATGCAATAAAGAGGTGAAAAGGTTGAAGAAGAGATAAACTCAGTTTAGTCTTTATATGCAGAACTTGTATTAAAAAAAGAATAAAGTCAAAGGATAGAAATAAGAAAAAAAACTGTAGCAAGTAACCGCTTTCGGTCAGTAAAGATAGGCTCCGCACACCGGCTAGAAAACCCCACCACTCGACCCAATTAATTGTTGTTTGTAATTTGTGTTAAAAGCATTTCAAGGACTACGTTTATTTTTTTTCCCCCAAGTTTGCTTACTTGTAGAGCTCTCCCGTACACATTTTCCTCTTGGTCCCAGTGGTCGCTGGGGTTTGATTTTCTTCATTTATTTTACTTATTGCTTATTACTGTCACTTACACTGAACAACAAGAAGGGAGAAAGATGTTGCCTGTGAAGAAAACCTTTCAGTATTAGATTTTTAAGACCTTAGGATGTTAGGATGTCAACAAAATATTGCAGTAAAAATACGGTACAGTCAAATAAAAAAAATAAAAACATCGTTTTTCTCTACTATGTTATTATATACATATTACATTATTTGATTTCCAGTGTATATGGGCCATTTTCCTAACTTTGCCTCTACTTTTTCACTCGAATCCACTTGAGATATTCATTTGGCTTTGCTTTTGTTTTTTTCCTTGTGGGATTTTCGGGTTCCTCTCACGGCCCAAAACACTCGAACACCCCACACCCTCGTGTTTGTGTGTATTTGTCCACTAATTATAATAAACAAAGTTTTCTATTCGCCAGCAATTAGGCGACACTTGTAATGAAGGAAGCGGGCAGGGTGGGGATGGATCATACATTTCTGTATATTAGATATATGCCTATTGAAAACATCTATAAATGGGTGTTCTATATATACAAAATGTTTGTAAAATGTCACAATCCATGGAACATTTTAAAGCTGTACATCTTTTTGGGTTTTATATAAAAATGTTTTTTATCAAAATCCTTTTTTAAAGCACAATTTTTAAAAGTAAACGTATAAATGGGACACCTTATATTTATTTAAAGAATAAGCTGAGCGATTCGTCGTCAAATTCACAGTGTCGCGTTTGCTCTAGAAATCCGTGAAGGGGGAAATTTTGATGGAAAGGAGGGAGAGTTATGCGACAGCAGGTGGTTCAAAGTAATTTACTGGGACCCCTCGCACTTGCCATTTTCTTAGGATCGTTTAATTTTATGTTAATCATGTTCCATGAACAAAAACCATTTCAACCTGATGCAAGTGTGTGTGTGTATTTGCTCGCAGGTCGTGACCCGTGCCTGCCACGCCCACACAGCACACTCTGCCACGCCCACATAGCCCACGCCAACACGCCCAGCCCACTCTGAATTTGATGCTGAATGAACGGCCTTGGCTTTCTTGACTTTACCTCCCGTTAGCCGCCTGTTTGATGGCTTTTCAACATTTTGCATGAGCGTTTTCTAATTGAATCGAATTTGTGGCAGCTACGCGATATAAATTATACATAAGTACCAACTTGATTGCAGCAGTGCTGCACCTGAGTAACACCCACACACGAGCACAATTTTACATTACACTGT